AGCTTCACTTGAGTTCTGTACAATGTCGATCTCACTGTACCTCTAGCAGCTAACAAGGATCCTTTGGTAAGCCTCCACGTGCCGTTACCAAAATTGTTAGTATAGCCTGCTAGATCCAATGCATGCACAGAGATCAGATTCAGACGTAAGTCTGGTGTATGTCGTACGTCCTTCAGTGTTATTGTGCACCCAATATCAGTTTGAATGCATACGTCACCAACTCCCACAACATTTGCAATGCTGTTGTTGCCCATCTTTACTCTACCAAAGTCTCCTTCTTTGTATAGAGAAAAGAATTCCTTGTGAGAGGTTGCATGGTATGATGCTGCTGAGTCAATGACCCATTCAACACATGAATCAGAAACATGACAATCTTCTTCTTCAACAGAGAGCAACACCACTTCCCCGTTAATCACAGGGGTTGCGGTATTTTCATCGTTCTCTGTCTTGTTGTTTCTCCAACCTCTGTTCTTCCAGGCTTTGCAGTTTCTTTTGATATGCCCTTCTTCACCGCAGTGATAACACTTGAATTTTCTCCTGGGTTGAGATTGTGATTTATCTCTGGTTTTGCTATTCCGGCCTCTGCTTTTACTTCTCCCCCTGGTTTCTGTGACCAGGGCTTGGGAACTGCTTGCCCCTGAGTCTTTTCTTCTTGTTTCTTCATTAAACATATTGTCTTTGACTTGAGTCAAAGTCAGTTTTCCCTCAGGAGCAGAGTTGCTCAACGAGACCACCAGAGTCTCCCAGCTATCCGGTAAAGAACTCAAAAGTAACAGCGGCTGTAGCTCTTCATCAAGTTTCATCTCCATGGTAACAAGTTGGTTTACCATGTCTTGAAACTCATTCAAGTGTTCTGCAACTGATCTTCCATCCCGGTATTTTAAATTTACAAGCTTTCTAATGACGAAAGTGTTGTAAATATTTTTCCGGAGTAGAATCGAAAGATTCGAACACGGGTCGTGTCTCACGAGGAAGGTTAGCCGGAATACAATGTGCGTTTATTCAAGAACACAGAAAGAAATAAAATACCTAAACATACTAATTCAAATGATTGGGTTTGATTTAATTATCTACTAGCATGAAAATTTAAATGAAGCAGTAAAAATAACGAGCTAAGACGAAGACCAAATAGGATTAAAGGAGCTAGGGAGTCGGGGATATCCGTTTTGATTCGAAAATGCAATTGATGGGCAAGAGATTATTCGGTTAAATGATTTGAATAACCTATCGTTCAAGTTTTCATTCTCAATAACTGTTCGTAACAAGAGAACAAGCTTAAACGACAAATTAACAATTCAATTAACGCCTAGGCAATACAGCAACGAACAAGCCTAGTTCATACGAGCTTATTTCGACCGACTCCTCCCCTTTCGGTTCTAAGAGTCGATTAACTTAGCCTAGAAGATGATTAATCAACTAGCCCGTTTAGAATTAACAACATCAAACAAGAATAAATTGAACTCAATTGCAATCAATTGGAAATTGAAGTGTCACCCTTCAATAATCCTCAATATTCAAATACGATAATTGGAAAAACCCTAGAAAAAGAGCAACTCGTACAATATGAACAATCTCAAGCCCGACAATCACGAACGAATTAAAACATCAATCCTCTAGTCCCTAGCATAAGAATTTAGTTACTCATAATCGGATAATTAACATAAACATCCGTAATCAAAGCAATCATATTCATAGATTAAATGTATAGAAAACTTACG